TGGGCTGGAGGAGCTTTAAGGTCCTTTCCAACCCAAATCAGGCTGTGGTTCTATGCCTCTATGACAAGGTGCTGCTGAAGCTGGGCTGGCCTTGCTGCAGGCTCCCAAGGAGGCCGCTTGCTCCAGGTTGTAGCTGGGCTCTGGAACCCCTCTTGGTGGGGTGAAGCGGCACCTTGGAGCTTTCCCAGGGGCTAGCGCTGGTGGCACTGCTCTGGGCTGGGCTTTTTTCCCCAGATGTGACACTCTTGTGGAGTCTTTTCCAAGAGGCTGCAGGTTGGTGGGAAAAATGATGTTGTTCTCCCAGAAACCAGTCTCACCTACGTGCTGGGGACTTGTGCTCACTTCTCCCAGCCCGAGGCATCTCACCCTCTTGCACCTGCAGAATGTCAGGTGCTGAAAGAAACACAAACACCACCATCCCTTTCCTCTCCAGACGACTGCAGAGGGCTCTCTCCTGTGAGGTGAGGGTAGAAGGTTCCTAATAGGGAGGAGAAAACTGGAGCCAGATGACAGCTCTGAGACAGAGGTGATCAACAAGAGAGAAACTCAGCTGCTGGTCCTGCTCAGGAAACGTGTCCTGATGGCCCTTCCCTGCAGGGCTGTGGCAGGATCTTGGCTCTGGGCAGCTCAGGGGAGCTCTGTTGCAGCTGCAGGGCTGAGGGTTGCAGGTCTGGCTACGGGTACCCAAGCTCACTGGGCTTTTCCACCAGGGAAACTAGCTTGTTTCCGAGCCCAGGCTCGGCAGCACTCTCTCAGCCTGCTGTATTTGCCAGTGTAGCGGGGTCACAGAGCTTCCCCAAAGTAATTAACAGCAGCAAATCCATTACAACCTCTTTGAAAGTTGTTCCAAGAGCTAATTATATCCTGTGAGTGTTTCTCTTTGACACCTGATGTGCAGTTTCAGCTTCCCAGCTGATGGACCTTGCTGTTCCTTAGCTGCCAGCGGAAAGCTGTCTCAAAGACCCCATTTTTGGGTTGAATTCCCCCATGATGAAGTCCTCTTTCAGTTACATTGCCTGTAGCACGTCCTGGAATCTCCTGCTGTAGAGCAGATGATGGATTTGAGGTTTTCTCCCCAGTTTTCTCCTCTGGGGTCTCTCACATGGAGAGACCATTGTAAGAGTTATTTTTCAGCTGACTTCCTGAGCATCATCCAGTTTTGATATCTTTCTAGTTTCTTTACCAAGGTAATAATCCTGATGCAGCCCCCTTGTGGGATTGCTTTAAGGCTCTTCACTCCATTAGCTGAGTTGGAGATCTCATGGAAAAGTTACCACAATAGCTTGATGGGACGTTGGTTGTTGTGGTGGGTTGATCTTGGCCCCATCCAAGCGCTTCACCCAGTCATTATGTAATGTGGGGAACTGGCATCTGTTCTTCACTGTGGGATGGGAAAATGGGCATTTGATGCAGAGGTGACACTGCAAGGACTAATCCCAAGGGGATACCTGTTGGTTGCAAAGATGGTGAAGTGATGGGTCGGCTCCCAGAGACCTTGGTGGTTCCTGGTGACCCTTCCCTCTTCTTATCACAGAATCCCAGCCTGGTTTGTGTTGGAAGGGACCTTAAAGCTCATCCAGTCCCAACCCTTGCCACGGGCAGGGACACCTTCCACTAGAGCAGGTTGCTCCAAGACCCTGTGTCCAACCTGACCTTGAACACTGCATGGCATGGGGCGTCGCGAGCTTCTGGCAGCCACAGCTTCTCTGGGCACCCTGTGCCAGCACCTCAGCACCCTCACAGGGAAGAGCTTCTGCCTCAGAGCTCATCTCAGTCTCCCCTCTGGCAGGTTAAAGCCATTCCCCTTCTCCTGTCCCTACATCCCTTGCCCAAAGCCCCTCTCCAGGTTTCCTGGAGCCCCTTTAGGCACTGGAGCTGCTCTAAGGTGTCCCCTTGAGGAGCCTTCTCTTCTCCAGCTGCCCCAGCCCAGCTCTCTCAGCCTGGCTCCAGAGCAGAGCTGCTCCAGCCCTCGCAGCAGCTCCGGGGCCTCCTCTGGCCTCGCTCCAGCAGCTCCACGTCCCTCCTGTGCTGTTCCCCAGAGCTGGACACAGTGGGAGGAATGACACAGCCTAGGGCAGGGCTGTGTGTGCATCTGTGGCCAACAACAGCAGTTTTCAAGTGCCCAGGGAAGAGAACTTGGTGGACAAGAACACTGGGTTTCCCCAAGACCTTCCCTCTGGGGAATCCAGCAGAGATCTTGGATGTCTGGGACACCGTAAGGTGGACACATGGGATGGAGCAAAGAGGAGATAAGAGGCCAGTAGAGAAGGGCAAAGTCACGATAAATAAACTCATGGCTCAGGGTAAGGTGAGCTGCCCCCCCAGCCCTGTGGCAGAGAAGCTCCACTGGGAAGGAAAGGATGGAATGAGAAGGATGGGATGGATGAGATGGGAAGGATTGGAAGGGAAACGAAGGCTGAGAAGGAAAGGGTGGAATAGGAAGTATGGGAATGAAAGGATGGGAAGGATAAGAAGGAAAGGA